TTCACCATAGGCGAAACCCAAAATTCTTCATCTCCTTCCACTATGGTCGAAATCCATATTCCATCTTAATCTCTCTGCTCTTCCACCATGGTCAAAACCCACATTCCCTCTCCATCTCTCTCTAACTTCTCCCATGGCCAAAACCATACACCAATTCCACCTTTCTCTCTCCTTCTCTCTTCTCACATAACTGAAACCCTAACCCATTATCTCCTTCTTCTCTTCATTCTTCCATGGAAGAAACCTTAACCTATTCTCCCCCTCTCTCTCCCTTTTTTCCACTTGGCCAAAAGCACACCTATACTCACACACACCTTCCTTCTTCATTTCCCATGACCATGAACATAACCCTAACTCGCTCTCTCCTCTTCCATTTTTGATAGCCGAAACCCTTAGCCCTTTTTCTCCTCCTCTTCACTTCACGTGGCCATGATCTTAACCCTAACTCACTCCTTCCTCCTTATTTCCCATAACCGAAACCCTTGGCCCATTTTCTCTTTCTCTTCACTTCTCATGGCCAAGTCCTCAACCTTAACTCAATCCACCCTCTTTCTTTTCCTATAACTAAAACCCGTAACTCTTTTAATTCTTCTCCTTTTCATTTCCTATGACCAAAACGTTTACCCTAACTCACCCTCTCCTATTTGTTGCCTTAGCTAAAAATCCTACCCCATTCCACCATTGGTTTTTGCTTGATTAAAAATGTGCTTGAATTATGTTGGGTTTACTTTTTGGTTGGTAATTTAGGAATTATTTACATGTGTATGCTATTCACACATAATTATAACAAAGGTTAAACACAAAGGAAATAATACCTTATGGAAAAAAAAAATTATCTTTATGTTATGAGGAAATTAAACCTAAGTTAAACTAAAATTTAAATCTAAAACAACCTAAACTAATGAGAACTAAAATCCTTTATCAACCCAATCTTAATTCAAAATAATTTGATTAAATTTGAATTAAATTTGATCACTGGTGAGAAACTTCGAAACTCCTGTGTTCGACAAATTTTCTCTCCCACACTCTCTCCACACTCGGATAATTTTTCTCATTTGTTGATCCATTTTTGGTCAACACTATTCCTTATATGCCACTTTTCTATACATATGGATTAGGCGATATGTATGTAAATGTTTAGAAATTAAAATTAATAAAAAAATAAATTTAAAACCTAAATTAACCTAATCAATTTAATCTAAATATAAAACTAAGCATAAATATGAAAATTAAATTTAATTAAACCTAAGTTAAACTAAAATCTAAATCTAAATCAACCTAAACTAGTGGGAACTAAAATTTTTAATCAACCACATACTAATTCAAAATAATCTGATTAAATTTAAAATAAATCCAAATTAATCTAAGTTTAAATCCTAAGCCCTAAGCCGCTTTAATCCCTAGCCCTTTGATCTTAATCAAACGGACAAGGGTGGGGATTTAAAGCCTAAGCCTTCCACTTCAAGCCCGAGAGAGAGTTTTCATGTTTAACCCTTTAAATTTATTCATGTTTATGCTTAGTTTTATATTTAAATTTAATTTTCATGTTTATTTTTAGTCTTATATTTAAATTTAATTTTCATGTGGGATAAAACTACACACAGAAGTTTTGAAGTTTTCCAACTGTGATGAGATTTAATTCAAATTTAATGAGATAATTTTGAATTAAGATTGGGTTGATTAAGGATTTTATTTCCTATTAGTTTAGGTTGATTTATATTTAAAATTTAGTTTAATTTAAGTTTAATTAAATTAAATTTTTAAGTTTATGCATAATTTTGCTTAGGTTTAACATTATCATTGCCGAGTATCAAGCCCCGAATGTGAATAACCGAGGGTTGCGTAGATAGTCGATAACCAGTGTAAAATCTGTCAAAAACAATCATGACATGAATCATTTACATCCTTATGTAAATGCTATAGCGTTCCCTAGAAGCGACATTCTGTACGACCTAACTATAGGGAAAAGTGTACAATGGACGTTACACCGATGTCTATGTGTAGTGTAAAATAATCAAGGGTTCCCATATTACAGATAGATATTGGTAAAAAACTTAGTCCATGAAACTAATATTAGGATAAAATTTTGGAATATATATACTCTCGCAGGTAAATTAATGGATCTGATTGATATTGTGGTTCATAGGAAGATAAATTTCTTATGTATTCAAGAAACTAAATGGGTTGGAGAAAAGACGAAAGGGATTAATAACATAAATTTTAAACTTTGGTATCAGATAAGAGTAGCATTAGAAATGGTATAGATATAATTTTATATAAGAGTTTGAAAGATAATGTTGTAAAAGTTAATAGAATTAGAAATATAATTATAGCCCGTCTGATTATTGTTATGACTAAAATTTTTAATGTTATAAGTGCTTACGCTCCTCGAGTAGGTTTAGATAGAGGTTCTAAGAAAAAAAATTTGGAATGACTTAGAAGAATTAATACGAATGATACATCTTAAAGAAAGAACTTTTATTAGAGGAGATTTAAATGGACATGTCGATATAGTGGTAGAAGATTTTATAAATATTCATGTCTGTTACGGATTTGGAGTGATTAATGAAGAAGGTAGAACCATAATGGATTTTTCTTTAGCGTATGATTTTGTTATTGCTAATACTTTATTTAAGAAAAGAGATGTGTGTATTTTTATTATAAAAATAGATTTAATAAAACATAACTAATGATTTTCTTATGAGAAGATATCATAAAAAATGCAAAGATTGTAAGGTCATTCCAAGTGAAAATTTTAGTACTCAACATCGATTATTAGTTTTGGATTTTAAGATGAACAGTAGTAAAATAAAGAATCATAGGAATCTTTATCATAGAATTAGATGTGGGCACCTAAAAGATACAAATAGAAATATTTCTATGAGTAAACTTCTAGATTTCACGATTTTGGATGTTCATGAAGAAGTAAATTCTATGGGGAAAACGTAAAAACCACTATTAAACAAGTGGAAAAAGTTGCACTTGAAAAATGAAATAGGAAAAATTTATATAAATGAAAATAGTTGTTTGTGAAAAAATAATGTGCAAGAAAGATTAAATATAAGAATTTGAGTTATAAAAAATATTTTAAATGTAAAAGTTTAGAGAATTCAAAAAAAAATATAAGGTAGCCTGTAGGGAATCTAAGAGAATAAAAATTCTGCTTTTAGAGATATTTATAATAGATTAAATACAAAAGATGTTGTAAAATATAAACTAGCCAAACAAAGAGAAAAAAAAAGTAAAGATTTAATCTAAGTGTATTAAAGATGAAAGTCAAAAAGTATTTTTCTTAGAAGATATTCAACATAGGTGGCTAGGCTATTTTGATAAATTCTTCAATAAAGTTTCTGAAAATACGATCGACCTTAGCGATCTTAATATCATTAATAATAATAAAATATTTATATTTTTACCGTCGCATTAGTGAAGAAGAAGCCACAGAGGAGTTAAAGAGTACCAATGGTGGAAAATCATAGGACCTAATAATATCCCCATTGAAGTGTAGAAATTGTTAGGAAATTTGAGAGTTTGTTGGCTTACTAAACCCTTTAATATTACTTTAAAAACTAAAAAGATACCTAAGGAGTGGAGGAAGAGTATTATGTTTCCCATTTTTAAAAATAAAGGGGATGCACAAGAGTGTGCTATATATTGAGGAATTAAGTTGATGTGTCATACTTTAAAATTATGGGGGAGGGATATTAAATATAGGTTAAGATGTTATACAAAGATTTCTCATAATCAATTTAGATTTATGTTGGACAGGTCTACTATGGAAGCTATACATCTATTGAGAGATTTGATGGAGAAGTATAGAGAGAGTAAGAAGGATCAACATTTTTTTTTATTGATTTAGAAAAAGCTTACGATAAGGTTCCAAGAGAAGTCCTTTGGAGAGTTCTAGAGAAAAAAAAATGTTGATGAGGCTTATATTAGAGCTATTACTTGTGTTCAAATTGATGGAGGATTGACCAAGTTTTTTCCTATTTCAGTTGGATTATATTAGAGCTCGACTTTAAGCCCATATCTTTTTGCTTTAGTTATGGATGTGCTTATTGGACATTTGCAAGAGGATGTACCGTGGTCTATGCTTTTCATAGATGATATCCTTGTTGTGGATAAGACTAGAGAAATAGTTCATAAAAAACTTGAATTATAGAGGTCCACATTGGAGTCTAAAGGCCTTCATTTGAGTAGAAATAAAACTGAATACATGGAATGTAATTTTAGTAGTAGTAGCTCTAGTGACAATGTTATAATTATGGGTGATCAAATTCTTAAAAGGTGTGAACGCTTTAGATACACAAGCATACATCAAACTGTAGTGAACCGGCTTGAAACCAACAAAAACAGGCCAGTTTGACCCCTAAAACAAAAATTATATATACTTTTTAAAATTTATACCACCAATTTTATGTAATTTAGATATCTAATACCTAAAATCTACTTTTTACATTTACACTACCCAAATCACTCATCACATAAAAAAAACTTACTATTACAAAAAAATTCATTTTACACATGCAACCTAATTCTATTTATTTACATATCTAACACATAAACTCCATTTTTTTATTTTTTTACATTTATACCACCAAAATCATCCATAACATATAAAATATCACTACTTTATAAAAAATGAAAACATTTTAAAATAGAATTTTAGGTGTTGGTTATTTGAATACATAGGAATTAAGTGTCATGTAAATCTTATATATTGTTGTTTTTAAATATACTTATAATTTATTTGATCGTCCGGTTAAACCCCGATTTAACTTTTGAAAATTGAACATGTATTACCGGTTCAATGTCTAGTTCAGTTTCAAAACATTGCTACACAGTTGATATGTATTTACATATCTAACATCTAAAATTTAATTATTTACAATTATGACACCCAAATCTTTCACATCACATAAAAAATACAACTATTTTAACCTTTGAAAAGTGATATAAAGTGATATAAACACTTTTATGCATATGTAAGGCAGCATATATATAAAAATTGAAGTATAGGTGTTGGATATATAAATACACAGGAATTAAGCGGTATACAACTAAATCTTCCATAACAATATAACCAGCAGTCCTGCTATAAATCTGAATCATCATCCAAACAGAGAAGATAAGCCACCAATCCAACAACAGGCATATATCTCAACACATTCACCAACTCTTGATCACTCATCCTTACATTCTGAAGGTTGTCACCAATCAACCATGGCTGGAATACAGCATAGAGGATGATATCCCATATAAACGCATAAGCAAGCCGTTCCGATCCGATGTAGTGCTCCAGAAACCGCCACCGGCCATCGAAATCCCCAAAGCCGCTTTCCGGACGGCCTAAGAAAGCCCAAATTATAGAAACAAAGCACACAATTCCACCGATTAAGCCAACCGACCGAGCGCCTTTTGTCATCAACAAGCCTAATTTTGATGACTTTAGAGGTGACTGGTCCGTGTTGTCGCTTCGGTTGTTGAGTCGGATAGCCATGTAAGGTATTAGAAAAGCTGCCAAGATGGACAAGACAAGCCATTAGTGAACAGAAATAGGGAATTAGGATGTTAAAATGGAGGGGAAGAGGATACTGTTTGTAAGGAACATCTGAAAACCCCACAAAAGGTCAAGAGATCCACGAAATCTTCCTCGACGATGGTCGGTGAATAGAAGTGGAGCAAATAGGAAAGTCCATCCGATTACGAGATTGAAGAGGCCTTCAGCCATCTAGCCAATGAAAGAAGAGGAATTACTGATTAAAATGAAGAAAGAGAGATGGAAGGTTAAGTAGAATATTACTAATTCCCTTACAGGATGAAGCACTGGTGCTTCAATTACATGTATCCCAACTACTCTGCCAAGAAATTCAACAAATGAGTTAGTAAAAGCAATAATAGTCTGTGGAGTTCAGAGTTTGTAGGAGGATGAAAGTAAAATGCCGTTAAGTTAATTTCTGAAAGTAAAATGCAGCAAGTTTATTTGCTTTTCAGATCGCAGCCAGTTTTATTTGGCTATAACTTTCATGTTGCATTTACATGAGAGAACCTTTTAAAACTAAATTTGCTCAAGTGTTGTAGCTATAAAGAAAAGCTGTTGTCAAACTTTTTCAAGAAAAAATTCCATAATACACATAATAAATTTCAAATCTATTCTCCATAAAACAATTTTATAGTTAACTTTACAAACAACTACAACTGTTCCAAATGAACCCAAAGAGTATGTTAGGTTATTATAAGAAAATCAGAGTCTTTTTAAAAGCTGTTGTAGTGTTGCGAACATTTTTTTTCATTTAAAAGATTGTGGCCTCCGAAAATTCAAAAAGGCCTCAAGCCTCCATTGAAAAAGAAGATGAGATGAGATGAGAGAGAAGTAAAGTTCCATGTTAAATTTATAGAAGGTAGATAAAATAGTAGATAAGACACTACTAAGAGATTTCACCATCATTTTGTGAGGACTTTAAGATCTGAGCTTCAAGGTTTGTCATATGTACAAGCCCCATGGTTAATTACTCCTGATAATGGGAGAGCACTTTCGATTAAGGCTAGCCATCAGATTTATGATATAAAATTAATGAAAACCATCATTGTCAAGCTTAAAATCAAATGGTTGGGGAAATGATGAAGCACCTGATCAAGATTACATGGTTCCATCATCTCATGGCATCTTGGACCCTGATATACTTAGTAGAGGAGGTAGTCGACCCAACTTGATATAAGTATCATTGCCAACAACCATGGGTTGTTTCGACCAAAAAAATCTTTTAGAAATGGGGTGAATATTTTTCTAAGGGGATTAATTTAACTCGATCTTAGCTTATAGAGAGTTTTGTGTCTATCAAATATACTCTATGATTCATAACTCAAAGGGGCAACATACCACTAAAGAACATAAGAGCTATAGACATGACTGTAACATAATAGTGTCATTTAGCGACAAACCATCTAGTTAGAAGGCTCTGGTTGTAATTGCTTCTTGTAGTGTCATTTGATGACAATATGATACGGGCATGGGACTCGGGCCACGTTCTTACTGACACGAAATTATTTTGAATTTGAATTTAGCAATATACTTGATATAATTTTGGCTCTATGTGAACTTAAGTTAACATTAAATTTGTCTATCCAATAAATGATGGTGGAAGGTGGAAGCTTCTTTTACTCTTAGTTTTTTAGTGTAATGATTTTTTTTATTTAAATATTTTTCTTTATTATTTTGAATTTGAATTTAGCAATATACTTGATATAATTTTGGCTCTATGTGAACTTAAGTTAACATTAAATTTGGCTATCCAATAAATGATGGTGGAAGGTGGATGCTTCTTTTACTCTTAGTTTTTTAGTGTAATGATTTTTTTTTATTTAAATATTTTTCTTTAACACTGTTATTGTCGGTCCCAAACCCGGATGTGAAAAATGGATGGTTGCGTTAGGTAGTCGACAACCGACGTAAAACTTGCCCAAAAAAAAATCATGACATGAATCATTTTGATCATTGTGTAAGTGCTAGGTCGTCCCCTGAAAACGGCGCGTTGTATGACCTGAATACAGTGAAAAATGTGCAAGGGCCTCTACACCGGCGCCCAGGTGTAGTGTCAAAAAAGCAAGAGTTCTCATACTACGGACGGATACGGGTAAAGAAGTTAGTCTATGAAACTAATATTAGGATATGATCTTGAAATATATGTACTCTCAAATAATAAATTAATGGAATTAGTTGATATTATAATTCATAGAAAGATAAATATTTTATGTATTCAAGAAACTAAATAGATTAGAGAAAAGACTAAGGATATTGATAACTTAGGTTTTAAACTTTGGTATTCTGATAAGTGTCGCACTATAAATGATATAGGTGTAATTATAGATAAGAGTTTGAAGGATGATGTTGTAAAAATTAATAAAATTTGAGATAAAATTATAGCCCTTAAGAATATTGTTGATACTAAGATTTTTAATATTATAAGTGTTTATGCTCCTCAAGTAGGTTTAGATGTAGTATCTAAAGATAAATTGTGGAATGAATTAGAAGACTTAATACAAATGATTCCCCTTGAGGAAAGAATTTTTATTAGAGGAGATTTAAATGGACATGTCGGTAGAGTGGTAGAAGATTTCAAAAATATTCATGGTGGCTGCAGTTTTAGAATGATTAATAAAGAAGATATAGTCATATTAGATTTTGCTTTAGCGTATGATTATAATATTACTACTAATGTTTTATTCAAGAAAAGAAATGAACATCTTATTACTTATAAGAATGAATCTAATAAAACACATTGATTATTTTCTTATGAGAAGAAGAGAACGTCGAGATTGTAATGATTGTAAGGTCATCCCAAGTGAGGATTTAAGTACCCAACATCGATTATTACTTCTACATTTTAAGATGAAGAGTTGTAAAAGAAAAAATACAAGGATCCATTATTGTAGAATTTGATGGGGGTACCTAAAAGACACGAAAAAAATTATTTTTATAAGTAAAATTCAAGATTTCAAAATTTGGGATATTCATGAAGAAGCAAATGCTATATGGGAAAAAATAACACTATTAAACAACTGACAAAATATGCACTTGGAGAATCAAAAGTAAAAGTTTCTATAAATAATAATATTTGGTGGTGGAATAATAATGCGCAAAAAAAAAATATATAAGTTATGTTATAAAAATTGATTTAAATGTAAAAGCTTAGAGAACTAAGAAAAATATCAAACGACCCATAGAGAGTCTATAAGAACTATTCGTGATGCTAAAGATTCTGCTTATAATGATTTTTATAATAGAGTAGACAAGAAGGGTGAAAAATATATATATAAACTAGTCAAACAAAGAGAAAAGAAAAGTAAAGATTTCATTCAAGCAAATTGTATTAAAGATGAAAATAAAAAAAAGTGTTTTTTTTTTAGAAAAATGTATTCAACATAGGTGAGTGAGTTATTTTGATAAAATTTTTAATAAAGTTTCTAAAAATATGATCGACCTTAGTGATTGATCGACCTTTAAAAATATGATCGACCTTAGTGATCTTAATATTGTACGTTTCACTTTTACCATTGCATTAGTAAAAAGGAAGTTGAGGCTTTAAAGAAAACCAAGGGTGAAAAGTTTGTTGGACCTGATGATATCCCAATTGAAGTGTGGAAATATTTAGGAGATTTGGGAGTTTCTTTGCTTACTAAACTTTTTAAAATTATTTTAGAAACAAAAAAGATGCCTGAGTGGTGGAAGAGTATTTTGGTCCCCATTTTTAAAAATAAAAGGGAAGCACAAGAGTCTGCAAATTATAGAGGAATTAAGTTGATGTATCATACTTTAAAATTATGGGAGAGTGTAATTGAACACAAATTAAGAGGTATTACAAAGATTTCACATAATCAATTTGGATTTATGCGGGGTAAGGCTACTATGGAAGCTATTAATTTGTTGAGAGGTTTAATGGAGAAGTTAAGAGATAATAAGGAGGATCTGCATTTTATTGTTATTGATTTAGAAAAGCCTACAATAAGGTTCCAAGAGATATCCTTTGGAGAGTTCTTGAGAAGAAAGGTATTGATATGACTTATATTCAAGTCATTAAAAATATGTATATTAGAGTCGTTACTTGTCGTTACTTGTGTTCGAACATGACTAAATATTTTCCTATTTCTGTTGGATTACATCAGGGATCGGCTTTAAGCCCATATTTTTGCTTTAGTTATGGATGGTCTTGCTTTAGTTATGGATGGTAGTTATGGATGGTCTTACTGAACATTTATAGGAGGATGTACCTTGATGTATGCTTTTTGCTTATGATATCATTCTCGTGCATAAGATGAGAGAAAAAAACCCAGAAAAAACTTGAATTATGGGCCTATATTGGAGTCTAAGCCTTCATTTGAGTAGAACTAGCCTTCGTTTAAGTAGAGCCTTCGTTTAAGTAGAACTAAAAATGAATACACATAATGTAATTTTAATAGCCCTACTGACAGAAGTGTAACTTTGGGTGATCAAATTATTAAAAGGCGTGAACGATTTAAATATCTCGGGTCTATTGTTCAAAGTGATGGTGATATAGATGGTGATGTTATTAGTAGAATTCAAGTTGGTTGGTTGAAGTGGAAGAATGCTTCGGGCCTTTTGTGTGATAGAAAAGTACCGCTTAGACTGAAAGTTAAAATTTATAAGATGGTAGTGAGATCTGAAATGCTCTATGGTGTGGAATGTTGGCCTTTAAAAGAGAAGCATAATACTAAGTTAAGTGTTGCTGAGATGAGAATGACTAGGTGGATGAGTGGCCTTACACTTAGAAACAAAATGTGAAATGAATATATCTGTGATAGAGTTGGTGTAGCTCCAGTGACGAACAATATTAGAGAGAGTCGTCTTAAATGGTTTGATTACATTAAACGTCGATCATCTAATGATCCGATTAGAAAAGTAGCACAGTTTATGTTTTTTATTTGACTTATGTTAAAAAAGGCAAAGGTAGACCTAGGAAGACTTGGGCTTATTGTATAAAAAATTATCTTAATTTATTAGAATTAAATGAAAATATGATACTAAATAGGACGCAATGGATAAAAATGACAATCGCAATGGATAAAAATGATTAATGTAGACGACCCCATTTAGTGGGATTAAGGCTTTGTTGTTGTTGTTGTAAATATTTTCCTTTAGATTTATGATTTGAAATTTTTATTTTATCAATAAACTCCTCCAATTGAAATTCACATTAAACATAACCATCATTAGGAGAATGAGTAGAAATACTTATTTGTGGCTTTTGATTGAATTTATTCAATTAAGCATCCGATGATAGTTAGTCATATCAACTATAGTCCCTATTAGGAAGGGGATCAGACTAACCCAGTGA